CTAAATCTTCAGTTAAGACAGAGGTTCCCAAACTTTCTTAATTCTCAAGACCCTGAATATCCTGGTAATTTTTCATGACACGCCTATGCCAAATACATGTAAGTACATACAACAGTTCTCTTTATGAAGTAGTTAAATTCAAACAATTAGTAAGTTTTTAAGTCCTAAAAACTTAGAAGCCACTTGAAATATATAAGTAGAATGAAATAATTATATTTTTATTTTATTCTTTATTAACTAAAATTACTTACTAATGGCATGCACACACCTGCTGGTCAGTATACAACCTCTCCAACTTTGGATTAGATACTACCACCCTCATTTCCTCTTCCACACTGATTTTCATGCACTTATTTGCTTTATTATAACTGCAACTACCCAAAAACCACTTTGGCAAAGATATGAAGAAAGGAATATAGTGTGGTCTAATATTGAAACTGTGTACCATCTCAAACTGCAATAGTTCACACAGGATCTGAGAGATGTGCTTCCTTTGAAAGTTTAAAATATTCCATGGCACCCTGTGAATTCACTATGACGCCCTAGGATGTCTGGGCACACAGTTTGAGAACTGTGTTAAGGCATTTAACAAGTAAATAGATTTATTAAGTTAAATCTTTGGATAAGGAAAGGTTGTCAATTGGTAACATTGATACTTATAAATTATAGGTTGCTCAGAGGAAAAGACCAGAAGTTTTTGGCAATCCTTTAACTGGAACCAAAGGACCTAACAGATAAGAATATTAACACTAAACTCTGTAATTGTATAACAGAACACACCTATCAGGTCAATTACACATTTATGTTTTCTAAGCATTTCCTAAGTAAAGAAGAAAGCAAGAGGTAATTTCACAGAATAAGGTTTCCTATTTCATTTTCTCTTGGTAGAATTAATTTTCATACTTGTTAAAAAATATATCATTCTTGGTGATACGTATTTCTAGCTTCCAAAATGTTCATGAAATAAGGCTTTTTAATAAGAAAGACCAACTAACAGGATACTTTATTTCATTATTTTTATTCTTTGGCTTCTTTCACAGAAATATATAGCAAAGTATATTAAAAACATGTTTAATTTTCAAGAAGGAAAGATGAATAGACTTTTGAAAAATTAAATATGCCACATCACACATGGAAAAATTAGATCTTGACTAAAGAATATATTAATATAATACTCTAGAGATTGTGATTCAATCTCCCATTTTCCAGATAAAAAAATGCCTTCAAGTGCTTAATGTAGATTGAAGCTGACCAGTAAATTATAATTTTTAACAGTGGAAGCAAATATTCTTTTCTGAAATAGCACTTAAAAATTTCCATATAGGCCTCTGTCTGGAATGTAGAAAGCTGGAAAAGAGTCACTTCCACCCTAACAAGGAGAAAAAGATGGATCAACTCACTAAGATGTCAGTTCTTTCCTGATTCTAAAGTCAAATTGGAAATTAAAGGACTTAGAATAGTTAAAACAAGTTTGAAAACAATAATATAGTTGCAGAATTTCACATTACCTGGTTTCAAGAGTTCCTTTAGTCTATGGTAATCAAAACTGTGTGGTACTGGCAAAATGATAGCCATTGATCTATAGACAGAATTGGGTCCAGAAACAGAGACACACAGAAATGGTAAACTGATTTTAACAAAGGTGCCAGGGTAATTCAATAGAGAAAGGATAGTATTTACAATAAGTGATGCTGGTGCCACTAAATATCCATATGAAAAAAGATGAGCCTTAAGTCATATGTTGCACCATCTGTAAAAATTAAGATGGGTTACAGACTTAAATGTAAACCCTAACACTACAGAACTTCCAGAAGACAACAACAAAGAAAATGTTTGTGAGCCTAAGTTAGCAACTTCCAAAGAGCAACCAAGAATTTTCCATAAAAGAAAAATTTAAATTTTTGTTTTTTTAAAGATACTGCTAAGAGAATAAAAAGAAATCACAGCTGGGAGAAAATATTTTCAGTACATATATATATATATAATGAAAAATTTGTGTCCATAATTTACAAAGAACTCTCAAAACAATAATAAAACAAGCAATCCAATTCAAAAAATGGGCAAAAGATTTGAACAGACACTGCATCAAAGAAAATGTTTGACAAACACATGAAAAGTAGCTCCGTTTTTCAGAGATAAAGAAAAATGCAAATTAAAACTACAGTAAGATACCACAACACATTAATCAAAATGGCAAATGACAAAACAATACCAGTTATTACCAAGGATGCAGAGCATTGCTGATAAGAATACAAAGTGGTGTGAACATGTTGGAAAACTGTTTTAATCCATGAGAAATTAACGTTCACATACACAAAAATCTGTATGTGAATGTTTCTAGGAGCTTTTTTCATACCAGCCACCAAGTGGTGAATGGATAAGCAAACTGTGGTATATCCACACAGTGGACTACTACTCAATATTGATAAGGAACAAACTGCAAGTACACTTAACAATAGGGATGAATCTCAAAATCATCATGCCAAATGGAAGAAGCCAGACACAAAAGGCTACACAGTATTAGTTAATATTTATATGACATCTGGAAAAGCCAAAAGTATAGGGAGAGGAAAATCTTTTTTAATTTAAAATTTTTTATGTAAATACAAAGACAATTAAAAAAATAATTGCAAACTTTTAAATACTACCTTACTGTGTGATCTTCACAACATTCTATGGAGTAGGTAGTAGTTTTATGTCCATTTTATTGAAAAGAGAATAAATGAGTGTATACACTAACATTTGAACCTTGGTCTCCGTTGCTTCAGATTTCATGGTTTTTTCCTGCTATACTATTTGTCATCCTCAGCTTACACAATACTTGGTTCAGGCCTCTACTAGAAAAGTTATAAAGTGATTTTGTAATAAATAATTCAGATTATAAATGAGGAATGAAAAGGTCTTATTAACTTTTAATGATTATATTGTTTGAGACATTCAACTATTTGTGAATGAATAAAGTATTACTTGCATTTCCTGACAGGAGAGGTAGCACTGAGTTTAAAAAAGAGCACAGGTTCAGAAAACATTACTTCACTTGCATATATATGGCACTACAAGTAGAGTGTCTAAGAAGGTTCGGTTTTAGGAGTCATAATTTCTAGTGTGACAGTTACCTAAGTCTCAGTATCCATGTTTGAAAAAAGGAAATAATATATATCCCTCCCTTTTCATAACTATGAGGTTCAGTGAGATAATGGATTTGAAAGTCCTTTGCAAATGGTAAAGGAACACCTGATTATTTTTTAAATGTTTTATAATCATCCGTAACAAGCGATTCAAATTAACAGAGAACCCTTTCTTTTCTCAAAATCTTTTTTTATAACGAAAAAGATTTTTTCCTTTCATTAAGGTGATTAATATTTTATAGCAATATTAATTTATGTTTTACTGCTAACCCCAGAAGACTCAAGGTTTGTATACTTTTTAGTGAATTTATAATAAAAAACTTCTAGTTTTGACAGTAGACAGAACAGATGACAAAGAGAAACAGAAAATGCATGAGAAAGAAAAATCGGTCCACAGAAAGTTTATACATAGTCTACTATCTAGAAAGCTAAACGTTTGTTGCTAATATTCACATACAGGTATAACTTAAAGAACCAGTAGATTTTTTCTCTTCAAAGTACATTCACCATTTGGTCCCTGGAAACCATCCAATTGAGTAGTTAATGTGACATAATGGTTTTAAGCTGTAATACTCAGTCAGGACAAACGTAAGTATTTTCCTATACCCAATTATTATTAAATGATACAAGGGAGAATTCAGTGTTTGGAGTTGTAAAAATGAAGATTCTATTAGGCCTTCTTTTGATATGCTCATATTTCCAAGAATTTTTGTTTAGAGTAATTGCTTGTGTATTAAAATACGTAGGAATAAAAAGAGGTAGTGAAGGTGGCTGATTACAACTTACTATTTTGCAAAAGGAAGTGTCAGGACCAAATTTGGTTGCACTGCTATGTCCGTGTTATACCCCCAAATATAACACCTGTGTAAATAACTATTCTATTACTCAATCCGTTTAATAATTTTGTGTGTGCAATAAAGTAAGGCAGTTTAGTATCACTTTCAATAAAAGTAGAATTTAACTGTTTCAACAAGGGCAAAAACTTTCAAGCCACCAATTAAGGCCTCTAAAAGTTAATATGCATGTGTTCAACTTAAAAACTTAAAATCTGTAGTTCCTCAATAAATATTAATTTAGGAATAGAATTTTTACTTCTGAATTATGCTATTTTGAGAAAAACAGAAGAGCACAATTTTATGTAACGTCAAAGACAGGGAAATCTAATTACACCAGACATTTCTTTACAAGTTGTTCCATTTCAGCGTTCAAATTCATGTAAAAAAATGTCTTCATCTTTATATCACCTATGAAGCTACAGGTGATAAATGAATTTGTATTTTGAAAATTATTTATCTTGATACAGAAACTCTCATATAAGGAAAATCCAGAGCTAGCGTATGCTTTTCCCTTAAACACTACAGGACAAAAGTCTCCGTTGAGCTCGCGTTTCCTCCGCCACAAGGGATTTTAATTTGGGGCCAAATAGTAATATTTCAGATTAGATAACAACTATGATAAAAAAGGGGGAGACTTCTTTAATGTCAGTCAGTGCTGCACTCAAGTTTTGAATTTGCTCGTAATCTCGGACGCTACTTGAAACGTCAGGGTGCATTTCCAGAGCGTTCTGCCGGCTCATTATCTAACTCTTAAGGTCAAGGTCCAGCTAAGCTTAGCATAAACTGGAAAACGGCCATTAAGTAAACTCAGTCCCCAGTTCCAACAACGGAACTCGCCCCTTTTCTACGCTGCTGGCTCGAGATGTCGCAGCGCTCAAGCAGGGCCCTCCGCCCCTACGGCGCCTGCGCAATCTCCACAGAGTCAAACCCTTGCTTAAAAGCTGGTTGATGCGAAATAGTTTTGAAATTACTGTCAGGTCATGCCTTACTTTAAATAGCATTAGGTACGACAAATCACACCTGGGTGACCACTCACCGAAGTGGTCCTAAACGCGACAGGATTTAAGCTTCCTCTCGCGACTTATCTGGTGCAGCCGGAAGCGGAACTATCCGTTAAGAGGGGCGTGGTTATGGGAGCCGTGGAGCCTCGCTCAGGGAAGGTTGGGGCTGATCGTTTGGCTCTGGCCGGAAATCGTTCCGCCCGGTGGGGTTTCGGTGTGAGACCCAAGGCTGGCAGGGAAGAGGCGTGACCAAGATTCGCGAAGTGTTGAAGTTCTTTGCTGTAGTATTTGTGGGCACGTCCAGGCTAACAGTTGAAGTTCCTTGACTAACACCTTATTCCTGCCTCCGGGAATAAAGGGGAAACCGAGTCCTGAATGGACTTGGCCATCTCCAGCAGCTCGCGTGACATTCGCAGCCGTGGCAGGTGAGGGCGCCGACACAAAAGGAGAACCGAGATGCGGAACCTGGTCGCCCTGGATTTGCAGCCAGTTGCTTTGTCTCCTGCTCCGCGCTGCAGAGCCTGCACACGCGCTCCTCCTGGGGCATGTGCCGTGAGGATAGGCAGCATGGGCTTGCAGGAGGGTGACGGTGCACCTCTGAGGGTTCTTTCGCGTCTTCATTTTTCCTCCTCCATAGCTTCCCTTTTTCATTTATTGGGTTTGAGACACTAGAGGTTTCAGCCTAGCTTAGGTAGAACTGCTGAGAGCTGGTATTCCAGGATGTGGTTCTGTTGAGGCGAAGTAGGCAACCTTGAGTTTGGGACTGCTGTGAGTAGTTGACTTTTTATTTTCATTCCTCAGTCTTTATCCCTCCTCTCCTCGACGCTTCCATCCCCACTCTAAAAGAACAAAAGCCCCATTCATAGCCGCTTTGCGGAAAAGATTGGAGGCTGCCGGTCGCTGCTGCACCTAATCGTTTGGAGAGCGCTTCGAGAGAGAAAGCGCGAGGCTGGTGACCAGTGAATCTCATTTACTAGGTTCTTGACGGCTTCCTGGAAGGTGACTTTTGGAGTCCTGTGCATGATACCTGTCTTGTTTTAGCGTGCTAGAAGGCTTAGCTGTGGAAGTAGGAAGTATGGTTGACTTTGGCGTCTAGCACCCTTGCTCTACATCAGGATAGTGTTTTATTCTGCTTTCGAAAATTCTTCAGTGAAAATAGTTTTCATTTCAAGCAGAGAAAATAATGATACCTGTCATTAACCGAGTTCTTATGTGTGCCAAGTGCTTTACATACTTTCTCATGTACTTCTCTCTACAGTTCTATAGGGTATATTAATAGATTGTTATTCTTGTTTTACAGAGGAATTGGGGGCTGGAGCAGTCACTTAGCTCACCCTGAAAACTTTTGCTACTAGTAAACGTTTGAACCTGTCTTAGAAACCAGATATTTCAGACTTCAAAATCTGTATTCTTAACTATTACACTATTCTCCTGTCATTATGCTTCATTACATCGAATTTCTTCACTATTTTCAATACTCATTAAAAAAATATTAGGTATGCCTACTTAGCTGTCTTATGAAAGAGAAATGTGATGTCTGTCTCCAGGGAGGCTCAGTATTGTGATGCAGAATTAAGTAGTTCAGAAACCAAAATAGTATACTTTCTGCAGCATGGGTTTGTTTAAAGCAAGTGATTAAACTGAAGTGCAGAAGGTTTCAGAATTGTACAGTCAAAGCTTGCTGTTTAAGTATTAAATTCATATGACTTAACAGGGTAGTTGTGAGGGTGGAGTTCCAGTTGTTCCTTACCAGTTGGTAGAACCTGGTAGAACATTTTTTGATCACCCCAATAAGTGTTATGCATCAATTAAGTATTGGGAATATATAGATGAGGTCCTTATTCTCCAAAAGCTCCCACACTACTTACTACCTATACATTGTGTTATCGAACCATTTTCTCAAGTGGAAATGATGTCTTTATCTTTAGGAGACGCGTTCTAAATTATTTGAAAGGAAGTATATGGATGTCTACAATTACTTTCAAATGGTACAGCAAATACGTGTGTATATATGTGTGTACAACAAAGTAAATATGGAAAATGTTAGCAGTGATTGAGTCTATTGGTAGGTATATGGATGTTTATAGTGAAATGTTCCTTCAACTTTGCTGAATATTTGAAAGTTTTCATAATAAAAAGTTGGGAATGAAAAACACCAACTCTAATGGAAACTGGTAAACCCAAGTTGGTGGGGCACCTGAGGCTGGGAGAGGGTGCTGCTGTGTATTTATTTGGTGGTTGGCACATGTGTAATAGTGGTAACAAAAGCATTCATTGAGGACCTTCCGGTTGGTTATTGAAGGAGAAATAGGAGCTTTCAAGGAAAGTAGTGAATTCCAGAACGAAGAGGCTCAGCATGAAGGTATTGCATGAACATTTGAGGAAGGAAAAAATGAATATGAAAGTTGTGTGGAACTTGGCATGGGCTAAATAAATAATCTTGAAAGTGATCCTAGGCTGCATTTGTCAGCCTGCAGAAGCCTATTTAATAAACTACACTAGAAGTTCCTTAAGGAAAAGCGCTAAGCTTATTTTGATTTTATATTGCCATCTCCTAATACTGTGTGCCTTCTATAATAAGTGAACAGTGTTTTTTCAGTAAATATATTCACTTGAACAAATAATGAGTTTTCTATTAGATTTGCATATTACGTTAGTAGGGAGCTTGGTTTATAGAGTTCCAAAGATGCTAAGGCTTATTGAGTGTTTAGTAGATGCCAGGTGCTTACTTAGGCTACCTCACCTACTCTTCATGAGGTTACGGGGTGTTAGGATAATCCGCTTTTTTATAGTTGAAGAAACAGACTTAGAGAAACTAGCATAAGTTGTTTGTTATGTAGTGACATTTAAATAGGTCTGTCTGAATCCAAAATATTTGCCCTTCCCACTGCTGAAATACTAGGGCTTGGCTTAGGTGGAGGAGTAAAAAGTAAACCAAAGAATGTTTGCCACTTGATGCAAAAACAGAAGAACCAAGATTAGCTTATGTACACTGTCATCAACTTTTACAGCAATTGGAAACTTTCTTTTTTTTTTTTCAACAAGCATCATTTATATACAAAACAATGCAAAGGGTATAGGAATAAAAGACATTGATATAAAATGAATTCTTTCTTTTTTTTAAGTGAATTATTTCTGCTTTCATTCTTTAATCACAAACTTTTAACTTTCATAACACTGTGTAATTTAATTTTAAAGATGGGTAAAGTCAAGTCTGGTTAGGTGAACTAGTTTTAATGTTTCACAGGGAGCCACTAATGAAGCTGGAATTAGATCTTTGGGAATATGACTTTCAGAGTTAAGTTTTGCATTAATGTGACATAATGGTTTTAAGCTGTAATAGTCAGGACAAACGTAAGTATTTTCCTATACCCAATTATTATTAAATGATACAAGGGAGAATTCAGTGTTTGGAGTTGTAAAAATGAAGATTCTATTAGGCCTTCTTTTGATATGCTCATATTTCCAAGAATTTTTGTTTAGAGTAATTGCTTGTGTATTAAAATACGTAGGAATAAAAAGAGGTAGTGAAGGTGGCTGATTACAACTTACTATTTTGCAAAAGGAAGTGTCAGGACCAAATTTGGTTGCACTGCTATGTCCGTGTTATACCCCCAAATATAACACCTGTGTAAATAACTATTCTATTACTCAATCCGTTTAATAATTTTGTGTGTGCAATAAAGTAAGGCAGTTTAGTATCACTTTCAATAAAAGTAGAATTTAACTGTTTCAACAAGGGCAAAAACTTTCAAGCCACCAATTAAGGCCTCTAAAAGTTAATATGCATGTGTTCAACTTAAAAACTTAAAATCTGTAGTTCCTCAATAAATATTAATTTAGGAATAGAATTTTTACTTCTGAATTATGCTATTTTGAGAAAAACAGAAGAGCACAATTTTATGTAACGTCAAAGACAGGGAAATCTAATTACACCAGACATTTCTTTACAAGTTGTTCCATTTCAGCGTTCAAATTCATGTAAAAAAATGTCTTCATCTTTATATCACCTATGAAGCTACAGGTGATAAATGAATTTGTATTTTGAAAATTATTTATCTTGATACAGAAACTCTCATATAAGGAAAATCCAGAGCTAGCGTATGCTTTTCCCTTAAACACTACAGGACAAAAGTCTCCGTTGAGCTCGCGTTTCCTCCGCCACAAGGGATTTTAATTTGGGGCCAAATAGTAATATTTCAGATTAGATAACAACTATGATAAAAAAGGGGGAGACTTCTTTAATGTCAGTCAGTGCTGCACTCAAGTTTTGAATTTGCTCGTAATCTCGGACGCTACTTGAAACGTCAGGGTGCATTTCCAGAGCGTTCTGCCGGCTCATTATCTAACTCTTAAGGTCAAGGTCCAGCTAAGCTTAGCATAAACTGGAAAACGGCCATTAAGTAAACTCAGTCCCCAGTTCCAACAACGGAACTCGCCCCTTTTCTACGCTGCTGGCTCGAGATGTCGCAGCGCTCAAGCAGGGCCCTCCGCCCCTACGGCGCCTGCGCAATCTCCACAGAGTCAAACCCTTGCTTAAAAGCTGGTTGATGCGAAATAGTTTTGAAATTACTGTCAGGTCATGCCTTACTTTAAATAGCATTAGGTACGACAAATCACACCTGGGTGACCACTCACCGAAGTGGTCCTAAACGCGACAGGATTTAAGCTTCCTCTCGCGACTTATCTGGTGCAGCCGGAAGCGGAACTATCCGTTAAGAGGGGCGTGGTTATGGGAGCCGTGGAGCCTCGCTCAGGGAAGGTTGGGGCTGATCGTTTGGCTCTGGCCGGAAATCGTTCCGCCCGGTGGGGTTTCGGTGTGAGACCCAAGGCTGGCAGGGAAGAGGCGTGACCAAGATTCGCGAAGTGTTGAAGTTCTTTGCTGTAGTATTTGTGGGCACGTCCAGGCTAACAGTTGAAGTTCCTTGACTAACACCTTATTCCTGCCTCCGGGAATAAAGGGGAAACCGAGTCCTGAATGGACTTGGCCATCTCCAGCAGCTCGCGTGACATTCGCAGCCGTGGCAGGTGAGGGCGCCGACACAAAAGGAGAACCGAGATGCGGAACCTGGTCGCCCTGGATTTGCAGCCAGTTGCTTTGTCTCCTGCTCCGCGCTGCAGAGCCTGCACACGCGCTCCTCCTGGGGCATGTGCCGTGAGGATAGGCAGCATGGGCTTGCAGGAGGGTGACGGTGCACCTCTGAGGGTTCTTTCGCGTCTTCATTTTTCCTCCTCCATAGCTTCCCTTTTTCATTTATTGGGTTTGAGACACTAGAGGTTTCAGCCTAGCTTAGGTAGAACTGCTGAGAGCTGGTATTCCAGGATGTGGTTCTGTTGAGGCGAAGTAGGCAACCTTGAGTTTGGGACTGCTGTGAGTAGTTGACTTTTTATTTTCATTCCTCAGTCTTTATCCCTCCTCTCCTCGACGCTTCCATCCCCACTCTAAAAGAACAAAAGCCCCATTCATAGCCGCTTTGCGGAAAAGATTGGAGGCTGCCGGTCGCTGCTGCACCTAATCGTTTGGAGAGCGCTTCGAGAGAGAAAGCGCGAGGCTGGTGACCAGTGAATCTCATTTACTAGGTTCTTGACGGCTTCCTGGAAGGTGACTTTTGGAGTCCTGTGCATGATACCTGTCTTGTTTTAGCGTGCTAGAAGGCTTAGCTGTGGAAGTAGGAAGTATGGTTGACTTTGGCGTCTAGCACCCTTGCTCTACATCAGGATAGTGTTTTATTCTGCTTTCGAAAATTCTTCAGTGAAAATAGTTTTCATTTCAAGCAGAGAAAATAATGATACCTGTCATTAACCGAGTTCTTATGTGTGCCAAGTGCTTTACATACTTTCTCATGTACTTCTCTCTACAGTTCTATAGGGTATATTAATAGATTGTTATTCTTGTTTTACAGAGGAATTGGGGGCTGGAGCAGTCACTTAGCTCACCCTGAAAACTTTTGCTACTAGTAAACGTTTGAACCTGTCTTAGAAACCAGATATTTCAGACTTCAAAATCTGTATTCTTAACTATTACACTATTCTCCTGTCATTATGCTTCATTACATCGAATTTCTTCACTATTTTCAATACTCATTAAAAAAATATTAGGTATGCCTACTTAGCTGTCTTATGAAAGAGAAATGTGATGTCTGTCTCCAGGGAGGCTCAGTATTGTGATGCAGAATTAAGTAGTTCAGAAACCAAAATAGTATACTTTCTGCAGCATGGGTTTGTTTAAAGCAAGTGATTAAACTGAAGTGCAGAAGGTTTCAGAATTGTACAGTCAAAGCTTGCTGTTTAAGTATTAAATTCATATGACTTAACAGGGTAGTTGTGAGGGTGGAGTTCCAGTTGTTCCTTACCAGTTGGTAGAACCTGGTAGAACATTTTTTGATCACCCCAATAAGTGTTATGCATCAATTAAGTATTGGGAATATATAGATGAGGTCCTTATTCTCCAAAAGCTCCCACACTACTTACTACCTATACATTGTGTTATCGAACCATTTTCTCAAGTGGAAATGATGTCTTTATCTTTAGGAGACGCGTTCTAAATTATTTGAAAGGAAGTATATGGATGTCTACAATTACTTTCAAATGGTACAGCAAATACGTGTGTATATATGTGTGTACAACAAAGTAAATATGGAAAATGTTAGCAGTGATTGAGTCTATTGGTAGGTATATGGATGTTTATAGTGAAATGTTCCTTCAACTTTGCTGAATATTTGAAAGTTTTCATAATAAAAAGTTGGGAATGAAAAACACCAACTCTAATGGAAACTGGTAAACCCAAGTTGGTGGGGCACCTGAGGCTGGGAGAGGGTGCTGCTGTGTATTTATTTGGTGGTTGGCACATGTGTAATAGTGGTAACAAAAGCATTCATTGAGGACCTTCCGGTTGGTTATTGAAGGAGAAATAGGAGCTTTCAAGGAAAGTAGTGAATTCCAGAACGAAGAGGCTCAGCATGAAGGTATTGCATGAACATTTGAGGAAGGAAAAAATGAATATGAAAGTTGTGTGGAACTTGGCATGGGCTAAATAAATAATCTTGAAAGTGATCCTAGGCTGCATTTGTCAGCCTGCAGAAGCCTATTTAATAAACTACACTAGAAGTTCCTTAAGGAAAAGCGCTAAGCTTATTTTGATTTTATATTGCCATCTCCTAATACTGTGTGCCTTCTATAATAAGTGAACAGTGTTTTTTCAGTAAATATATTCACTTGAACAAATAATGAGTTTTCTATTAGATTTGCATATTACGTTAGTAGGGAGCTTGGTTTATAGAGTTCCAAAGATGCTAAGGCTTATTGAGTGTTTAGTAGATGCCAGGTGCTTACTTAGGCTACCTCACCTACTCTTCATGAGGTTACGGGGTGTTAGGATAATCCGCTTTTTTATAGTTGAAGAAACAGACTTAGAGAAACTAGCATAAGTTGTTTGTTATGTAGTGACATTTAAATAGGTCTGTCTGAATCCAAAATATTTGCCCTTCCCACTGCTGAAATACTAGGGCTTGGCTTAGGTGGAGGAGTAAAAAGTAAACCAAAGAATGTTTGCCACTTGATGCAAAAACAGAAGAACCAAGATTAGCTTATGTACACTGTCATCAACTTTTACAGCAATTGGAAACTTTCTTTTTTTTTTTTCAACAAGCATCATTTATATACAAAACAATGCAAAGGGTATAGGAATAAAAGACATTGATATAAAATGAATTCTTTCTTTTTTTTAAGTGAATTATTTCTGCTTTCATTCTTTAATCACAAACTTTTAACTTTCATAACACTGTGTAATTTAATTTTAAAGATGGGTAAAGTCAAGTCTGGTTAGGTGAACTAGTTTTAATGTTTCACAGGGAGCCACTAATGAAGCTGGAATTAGATCTTTGGGAATATGACTTTCAGAGTTAAGTTTTGCAATTCTATCCAGCAAATCACTCCACTCTTCTTAAGACTGTTTGATCAAGTAATTTGTTATATTATATTACCAGTAATCAAATGACGCATTTGGTCTATAGTTTCATCTTGGTAGAAAATTTGTTTTAATATGACTAAGGAACAAGTACATGTAAACAGCCTTGGTAAAAAATATTTTGAGATTACATGACTGTTATCTGGTAGTTATTAAACTGATTTTCCTGGGCATCTCCTTGGAAAAATGTAGATTTTAGTCAACACATAAATTGCTTCCAGAATCTGTTGCACATGGGCTTTTTTTTCCTGAGGAAAGAAACTATAGATTTTATAGATTTGCCAAAGAATTTTTGACTTCTAAAAGTTTAAGAGCTACTGTTTTAATGAAATCTTGTATTTGCTGTAACCTTGTTTTGTTTAGTATTATATAAGACCAGAATGCAGAATTATTCCTTAAAAAAATCTGTTTGCACACTGAACTTTCATGAACTGACACCTTTTAAAAGTTAATGTAATTTGATTGAAGTGTAGTTGTCAAAGGTTTTTAAACCATTATATTTTACCTATTCTCTTCCATTCCATTCAGATATTACTATGTTGCAAAATTTAATGTAATTTTAATTTGAATAATTAGCTTCTAATTTGTTAGGTATTTTTGGACTTGAGGAATTTAGAGCATAGTCTTTTTTACATTTTGAATCAGTTTGTTAAATTGCTAAGATGTACAGTATTGAAGATCAGAATCTTAATTTTATAGAAGAAAATGTCTTTTCATTTGAAGGTATGCATAAAGTTATTGGTAATGATTTTTGTAAGTATTTGTTTAAAATTATAGGGATGGTTTTGAAGTACACTCTCCAAAATCATTTTTTTCATTGCATTTTAGGTAAAATGAATGCCGGATCCAATCGCTGAAGCAATAGCTACACTGTCTTTTGTCTTTTATACTGCATCAACAATGAAGCAATGATAACTGAGAACCGAAGAACATTTGCCAGCTGTTATCACAATTTCAAGTGACTGTATAAGCAGAAACAAGCTGTCCACTAGTATAAAGAGAATGCCTTTTTCTGATGCTGTTTATTTAAAAGCAGTTTTAGTATAGTGCATTGAAATTATATGTATATCAAATGAACTAAAAATGAGTGAAGCCCCCAGATTCTTTGTTGGGCCTGAAGATACAGAAATAAACCCTGGAAATTATCGGCATTTCTTCCACCACGCAGATGAAGAGGAGGAGGAGGAGGAGGAGTCTGTAAGTTTTGTCTGGTGAGAGAAGAGCAGTACAGGATAGGCTCTTTACTGATCACTCTTAGGTGAATTGAAACTCTTACATTGTGAAGACATTTTTTTCACACAGGAAAAATGTTGGACATTTTTTAAACTGAAAAAGCATACCATTTTCATTGATGACAGTACTGAATCTGTGTTGCATGATGAAATACAATTTGGGGTCAGACTTCTTTAGTCTCCTTTAGTAACCTGCCTCGAATAACACAGGGAAAAAGTATCTAGGACAAAGAGCAGTCAGGGTCATAAATCTTAAAGGTTTCTTATATGAAAGTACATAACAAGAACATCAAGATAAAGAAATAGAAGGAAATAATTTTGGAAGTACCAAAGAAGGACTACTTAATCAGCTTCATTAAGTTTGTCATGTTGTCAACACAAGTGGTAGTTGACCTGAAGGTATACTTATTTATTAACTATTCAGAAGTCTCTAAACTGTGTGTCTGGAAAGATAGGCTTCCTCAAGTATCTGCAGGGGTGTGTAAGTGTTTAAGCCTTCCTCTCTTTCTAATTTGATCTATTAGAATGTATATCCATACTTGATCATCAGGAATGATATACATTTATTATGTTCATTTTGCTGTAGTTACATTAGCCCAACCTTTTTCTAAGTTCATCATTGTTTTCCTTTTACAAATAGTTTTACTCTGAGAACTGATTTACAATACAAACTTACAGTGTTTTTTTTTCTTAAATTTGCAATTTGAAAAGAGAATTTTATTTTAAAATAGAAACCTATTATACTTGATAAAAGTGATAACAAGCAAAAAATAGATATTGGACGACTCTTTTTTTTTATTAAGGATGTACACTCTTATGAAGGTTTCACATGAAAAAACAATGTGGTTACTACATTTACC